TACAGGCGCCTGCCACAACGCCCAGCCATTTTTTGGTTGCAGCCGTCATTGTTGTTTGGCGGGCTCAGGCTGGGGATTCGAACCCGCCACCTTAGGTGTATGCAGCTGGCGCCTTAGCCACTTGAGCCACAGGCACCGAACCTAGTACTAAAATTTTTATAAAGCGTTACAGTGAGGAATACTTGTACTAGCAAAGAATCTTATTTGTACTCCAAGGTATCAAAATATTTTCAAATGACCTGGAAGCACAATTCCATCCCTTTAAAAAATCTATGGGTTAGGTTTTAAATCTCTTCTTTCTTTTCTTTTTCATTCATTATGCAAAATAAGACTTTTAGAATTTTTTAATTTGCTTTGGTTTACACTCCCTCTTCTGTAATTGTAGATACCTGGTTTTAGCATCTATTTAAAATTTTTCAGAAATAATTATTTCTAAGAACTGCAAAATAATTTAATTTCAAAGACAGCCAGCTTTCTGCTCAGATTAAACTTTTATCAGATTTCACTAAGGTTGGTAACTTCAAAGTACTTTTTCATGCTTCCTTCATGAGTGATACAGAAAAGCTGTATCAGGATGAGGCGTAGCAATTTTGGAACCATCAGAGCTGTCGTCATACAGCACACACGACATGCAACAATGATAAATTCAACCCACCAAGACACTGCCACCTGTTGACATGAACACAGTTGGGAGACACTGACATACCCAGGTTATGAAACCTTACTGAGTTGTTTGTACAGTGCTGCCAATGTAAGCACACAGTGGCAAGTTCACGAACTTGTCAGACCAGGTACAATGACAGCTGATAGGACATTCTAGGAAAAGTTCCAAAATTGCTTTCAAGGGTAGACTAGGTGCTGGCATCAATGCATAGCTTCCCAAGGGGGGCACTTCAAAGGTGACCAAAGTGATCTGCAGCAATGAGGCACTTCTTCTAGGATGAGTTCATGCACTTAATTGTCAGATCTTGTATCTATAAACAAATCCTGTTCTCTAAATGCGCTGTGTTTATGCATTAGTTATTCCTTTTCACTAAAAAGTAAGTTTGGTTTAATAAACAGACTCTGAATAAAGGAATAAAACATTTTATTTTAAAAATTCAAATGAAAATGAAAACTGCTCATTTAAGCACCCACAGAGTGCCTGCCACTATACAAAACATTAAAAGTTTGTTCATGATCTTTTAGAGCAAAATTCACTGTTGCACTCATTTCTTCATGACACTGACATTTTAGCTCCACTGTCCTAAAATGATCAGATCTTCCAAGACTTGCTTAGAAGCAAGTTTTCAATTCTACAGAAGTAGACCACGCAGGTTAATGCAGAAGCCAACTGGTGAGAAGTCTGTCGACTGTTAGGGTTAATGTCCTCTCCCTGATTAAGAGAAAATTAAAGTATTAAGGGCACAGAAAATAGATCTTTAATAATAGTATTAAACATTACAGTACTATTTGTTTCTGTAATGTTTAGCAAACACACTTTGCCAAATTTCACTGCCATTCATATTATATCTTTTTCAATTTTTCAAATTAATAATAAAGCCAAATAAACTAAAAGTAGGTGAAAAATTAGAAAGAAAAGAAAGAGTGACACAAAATGAAGACATAAATGAGGCTTAGCAGAGAATACCATGGTGTTCTATATACTTGCTGGCAGAGAAAAATAAAAGAGAAAATGGTACACTATCAATTCTAAAAATTCAATCATTTAAAGACTTTATTACTCACCTCTGAAACCACCACCCCCTCTTCCTCCTCTGAAGCCCCCACCTCCTCTTCCACCTCTAAAGCCACCTAAAAAAGGAAAAGTTTATTAAATAATAATGTATAGCCAGGCATTGTGGAGGGCACCTGTAGTCCAAGCTACTTGGGAAGATGAACAAGAGAACTGCTTAAGCCCAAGAGTTTGAGGTTGCTGTGAGCTGTGACGCCAGGAGTACTCTACTGAGGGAGACATAGTGAGACTCTGTCTCAAAAAATAAACTAATTAACTTAAAAAATAACTAATGTAATATATAAATAAAAATTTATATTAAGTGTATATTAAGTAATATAAATAACAGTTATTAAATAACTACAAGCTCTCATACTGATAAGCCTACAAAGATGAACACAATTCTTACAATTACAAAGGATAAATACAAATTCATGTATTTTACCCTGCAGAAATTTTTAAAAGATAAAAATGGAGAAACTGTAGTAGTTTACCAATTGTGAAAAGAGCTAAAACCCCAGATTTTCACCTTTTATTTATTTATTTATTTTTTTGGGAGACAGAGCCTCAAGCTGTCACCCTGGGTAGAATACCATAGCCTTCACAGCTCACAGCAACCTCCAACTCCTGGGCTCAAGCGAGTCTCCTGCCTCTGCCTCCCAAGTAGCTGGGACCACAGGTGCCTGCCACAACACCCAGCTATTTTTTGGTTGCAGCCATCATTGTTGTTTGGCAGGTCCAGGCTGGATTCGAACCCGCCACCTTTAGGTGTATGTGGCTGGCGCCTTAGCCACTTGAGCCACAGGCACCAAGCCGATTTTCACCTTTTAAACAAGTATTTCACTTGAATGGATTTGAAAAGTTTATTACTTTCAAGTATGATTCAGCCCTATTGTTAAGCATACGATTAACTCAGTTTGGGGAAATATTCTTTTGATTGAACTAAGGATAGTTTGATGGAATTAATAAAGCTTTTATCCTAAAAACAAAGAGTGGCAGATGTGGGCAGTTTTGCTGTGAGGAGGTTACAATAAATATGATGTATAAGGTGAACTGAGCAACATAGAGACCACAGATGATGCTCACATGAACCTCTCAAGAAGGTACCCCCACAAATGCTGAAGAGAGAAGTTCAGATCTTTCTAGGAGATCTCTACCTAAGTAGACCCAAGCAAGTACATTTACAGAGTGAAATGATTAACTTGAGAGAAGCCAAGGTGAAAACAGGGTTCCCTCTCTTCTGATCTGTAGAGGAAGCTGTCCACACCCACCTCTGGCACCCCTTCCTTTCCACTTTCCTCTGGCCATCATGTTGTCACTCATGCACCCCCAAGACCACAGACAAGCACACACCCAATGCTGCAGCCCCACTCAACCCCCAGGCCAGCTCATCATCTAGCTGGCCATAACGATGAATGTGTGAAAGCCTCAAAATACTGAAATCACAGCAATTAACTTATCAGTTAATTAGTTCCTGATGTGGTATCAGAAGATATGGGTTTTAATTCTGGATCTGCCAATTGTCTGATTAGGGAAGGGGTGGGAAACCTATAGCCTTGAATCCAAATTTTACAGAATAAATCAGATTCAGTCAAAAGGCTGCAATAAGGACCAAGAAGGCCACGTGCAGCCTTAAAGCCTCAGGTTCCCCAACACCAGATTAGCCTGTTTCTTCAGCCATAAAATAAGGACATAACCTATCTTGAAAGGTTTTGCTGGGTACTGACAGAATGTACATGGACATTAGAAAAATACACATCCAGCTCTTGGCATACAATTAACACTCAATGATATTAACTAGGAAACTAAAATTTAGTTAGGATAATCTTATACTTTATCAATCTTATACTTTATTAGCCAGGAAAACATGAATAACCCAAAGAGATGAAATCTCTCAAAAGTATACTTTATTAGATTCTTTTCTTTTTAAAGAAGTTGTTGAAACAAAATTACAATGAGCAACCTACGAAATATTTATAAGGGAGGTTTGCTTATGCACAAAACAAAATTGTACTATATGAATTAGTGGTGAGTTTGAAATTTCATTAGAAATTTTCCCCCACAAGTAACTTACCACCTCGACCACCACCTCTGCCGCCTGCTCCTCTTCCTCCTCCTCGACCTCCCCTGCCACCACCTCTTGGGGGTCCTTTCTCACCTGGAGGTCGAGGTAGAAACCGCTGCAGTGGCAGCAGCTTAAATGGGTCTATATAAAACTGGAAATATGAAAGCAATTAGTATGACGACTCAGGGGACAGTACAGTATAATCATTAAGAACCCACAGTCAAAACCACCTGAGTTGAAACCCTAACCCTACCACACTTTTTACTGTGCAGTGCTGGGCAAGGACTTAAAATTCCTAGTACCTTAGTTTTCTTATCTATAAACATAGATCATAAAGTATCTATTCCACGTGGTGTGAGGATTAAAGAAGTAATGTGTTCAAGGCACTTCAGACACAGTAAGCATTACATCCATATAAAAAAAATCAAGACCAATTCAATCTCATTTCTCTTTAGGAACAAATAATACTTCCCCAAATTAACTGCATTTTCACTCAACAAAACTGCCGTAAGAAAAATAAAATGGGGCGGCACCTGTGGCTCAGTGGGTAGGGCACCAGCCCCATATACTGAGGGTGGCAAGTTCGAACCCAGCCCTGGCCAAACTGCAACAAAAAAATAGCCAGGCATTGTGGCAGGCTCCTAGTCCTAGCTACTCGGGAGGCTGAGGCAAGACAATCGCCTGGGCCCAGGAGTTGGAGGTTGCTGTGAGCAGTGTGATGCCACGGCACTCTACCAATGGCAATAAAATGAGACTGTCTCTACAAAAAAAAAAAAAGAAAGAAAGAAAGAAAAGAAAAAGAAAATGTGGTATTAAAAGTCAAAATAAAGCACTAGCATACTAGCTACTTCAAGACTAATTATTAAACAAAGTAATCAGGGGCATATAGAAACTAAACCTATCCTATATTGGGGGTTAAAGAGAACACTGTTTTAGATAAAGAAATGTAAGAGGTATATTGTTTTACAGTTCTACACGAAACATCCTTGGACATTTTCAAAACTGTAATATATTACATATGTCTGTATCTCTCATCTTACCCCTCTTCTTCCCTTCACAGCCTATCACGTCAAAAATATTGTCTAGATCTCCACGGCACAATTTGGCAGCCACTAGCCACATGTGGCTATTTAATTAATGGCTAAAAACTCATTTCCTGAGTCACATGAGCCACATTACAGGTGCTCAATAGTTACATGTGGCTAATGGCTACAGTATTGGGCAGAGATTTCCATCGTTTTCAATTCCACAGCATTAGTCTACAGACTTTATAATAATCTAGGCTGTGTTAGAAGAGCCTGCACTAAGGCCCTTGAAGTATTAAGGGCACAGAAAATAGATTTTTAATAGTACTATTAAACATTATGTTTATATCTCTCTCTGAACAGCAGTGGCTCTGGAAGCCAGGACAGGTATATATGTACCCAACTTAGCACCTGATTAAAAAAAAAAAAAAAAAACTAAATAAAAACCCTCAAATTAGTAATACCATGAGAAAAGGCGGGAATCCAAACCAGTCTGGATTAATTACTAGCAATTTTCTTTTTCCAGGTCACAGGTGAGATGCCCTTTTGAGCACTGTTTCTTTCTAGACTGTTCAGCTCCAGGTACACCTGAGCCCACCCGAGTACTTGTCAGGGTTTCCACAACCAGCAGACACTTGCAAACGATGATGTGTTGTCTCATCCCATTTCCTATTCCAATCTGGCTCCTGGGCCTGCTGCTCCACTGGCTCCATGATGCCTTTACCTCTGCGCTGCTGTCATTCAATGGATACTTTGTAGCATTTCAGGACAACTGAACACTCCCTCCAGAAAATTTTTATCGTCTCAACTTTTGTGATACCATGTTTATGCAGTGGTTTATGGTTTGCCTCCTTTTATACTGGCAACTACTTATCTCTACAAACAGACATTTAAACCTCGGAGGTGCCTCAAAGCCATCGCAGGTTGCTCTTTTCCTTTCATTCATTCTTCTTAGACTGTTACTTTGTGCGCACTGACAACTTCCCAACTCTATTTCTAGTCTGGACCCCTTCTCTGAACTCCTGACCACTTGGCTATCTCATGAGTACCTCAAACTCATTATGTCCAAAACCAAAATTACTTTAATCCTCCTTTCTCCAGTAAATGTCACCATCATCCACAAAGACAATGAAAGCAGACATCTGGAAGATGGGGATATTTTTTACTTCCTCAACTTCAACCACCAAGTGGTTCTACTTCCTCACAAATCCATTCACTTTTCTCTGTTTCCACTGTCTCTACCCTGATTATACTTTCCAAGTATCATCGCTTCTAGGACTAGCAACAGCCCCTACCTGGCCCCTTCACACTCAGTACTGATCCCTTCACAGGGTGCTTTTTAAATCTTTCCACAGTGCGCTTCTTAAGCATAAATGTAACAGAATTATCCTGTTATCAAAAACCAAACAAAATTAAAACTAAAGCTTACTGTATCCTTAAAGTTGTCTGGTGTCTCAGAGACTTATCATACACATAGTTTTCTCTACGTGGAATGCACTCTCCTCTTTGACTAGATCGGTGACTCCCACGTGTTTGCCTAGCTCCATCAAAATTATCCACTAGCTCTTTTTTAAACTGAATCCTGTGCCCTACATTAGGGCTTCTGGTTAAATTTCAAGGAGTGGGCCCCAGAAGTACACCTTGTTCGAAGGTCCCCCACATAATTCATGACAACACCGAGGTAGGAATCACTTCCAGTCTATTTTCAGGCCTCAGCTTTAAGCTCACTTCCTCAGGCAAGCCTAGAGACTAATTTTGGTCTTGCTAGAAAGATTCGATTCTCACAGCAACTTTTGTTTTATTTCTTCACAACGTACATCATGTTCATCAGAGTTCTTATGAAATCATTTAATATCTGCCTTCTCTCAAATAATGTAAGTTTATAATTTAACATTTTACTAGGAATGTTTGGTCATTTAAGTTTTTCAATAAGAATTTTATTACATAAACAAAAGGACCAGACCCTAACAGTTAATAGATTTTGCTAATATGAGCAAGGAATACTTTCTACAAGGCCATACCAAATAAATTACTTTTAAAAATCAATAGGTTCACTATTTAGTATCTCAGTTTAAGAGCTTAGTGACACTCCCAGTACAACTGTCCTAAAGTGTATGTCATTCCATTGTAAAACCAAGGATATGAAGTATCATAAGTTTGGCTTACCTTCTGTAGTTTTTTAAAGGATGATGCCTTCATGTTTTCTGACAATTTAACTGAAAAATACTATTAATTTCGTTAAGGAACAAATAAGTAATATCAATGAAAGAAGATATCAAACCTTCTGAATTCATGATAATTTTTTACAAGGGTTAGAATACATGGGCATATATAAGAAAGCTAAGAATCAGTTATTTTCCAAGGGAAAAAAACCCTTCCAATTCTACCACAATATTCCAATGGCATCATCATATTCGAACTAATCAACTTAATCCTACAGCACTAATCCAAATGTCCATAATTCCTAGAAATTGCCAAAAATGAAATCACCTTTCCAGGGTCTATCACTTCACTACATATAGATAAATACATTTTCCTTCGCAGCCCAATCTGTAGCAGTATTGTATAATTTAATGAAGCAACAATTTTAATTTGTATTTAATTGCCCCAGAAAAATATAAATAGTAACTTCTGAATGATATTCCTGGGTATTCCAATTAAAAAGGATACAAAATCTCTAAGTTGCCCAAATATTTCATCCACTTTTCCAATTTGTTCTTTGTTTTCTAAATAAACAGGAGCATTAAAGTAAGGCACCTTATTTTCATCAGTGGTACATTTACAAACTATGTCATCTTCACAGGGGTGCAGGAACTCTCCCAATACTGAAATAGGACAAGAAAATATAAAAATGTAAAACTATTTAAAATAATGCTGACCAACCTCTTCTGGAAACTTTCTTCTTGGCCACCTGGGCCTTTATAATATCTGTCCTCCTCCAAGGCAGGGGAGCATACTCACGTAGAGTATAGACTTACTTCCTGGATGGGTATACCACCTCCACAATGAGCTATGAGCTGGGGGAAGTTACTCACCCTCCCTGCGTTTCAGTGTCCTCATCTTTAATACAAGAATAGTAGGTGTACCCTAGACCTACTATAGAACACTGTTAATACTAAGTAGAATAACAAGTGTCAAATGCTTAGAACAGTGGCTGGCACACTGAGACCATTTAACCTTTAACACTCATCTTATTATAACTATTAATATCTCCTTTTCACCAATACCTATTTATGAATCCGCTTTTGTTCTTTTTTTTTTTTTAATTCTTCTCCCTTATAACTTTCCCATTCCCATTACCACCTCCTTACCAATGATTCATAATCTTTTTCAGGAAGTCTGGAATCTCAAAATAATTACCTTTGTTTCTGACTACTGTCACCCCAAACTAAAACATTCATGACATTCTTATAAATGCAACTCTCTCCCTTATCATCCAAGTTCAAAACCTCAGTCTTAGCCAAGTTCTACTGATTGTTTCCTTTGAAAGCTCTCCCATTGAAGCCTTCCTTTTTCCCTCACTGCTGTCAACCTAAATCAGACACTCAATGCCTCACAGTGGTGACAGCTTGTGAGCCAGGACCTCTGATTCTAGCCATTGCTCCCTTAAAACTATCCAGCTTTCTGATCCAATCCACTCTTAATTAGACACTATTCATCTTCTCTCCTCTTTAACGTAGAATGTTTCTACTGACAAACTTGTCTTATTTTCCATGACTTCCATCCCACCTCATTGATAATTACTCCAGAACTACACTAAATAGGTCTTGTTCTTGACTTCCCCTCCTTTCCCAAGCAATTTTTTTTCTCACTTCTCTTACTTTTGAATAACAATTTTGAGGTTTGGAGTCAGAAAACTTGGCTTTGTATTTCAACTACATCACTTATTGACCACTTATCAGTAAACTTATGACCCTAGTAAAGGAACTTAACTGAGTAATAGTTTTCTTAGTTGTAAAATGAGGAAAAGAGGTAGGTACTCAATACTGCCTATTTATTTTTTTTAATATTGCCTATTTAATATCGTTCTCTCAACCCAAGCTCAAGTTCCACCTCCATGATGCATTTCAAGTGTCCTTTAGCTTTCTTGATCGTCTCGTTTTAAGTGCTACCATATGATTATGAATCACTTTACAACATTCTCCATACAGACTTTGGCTCCCCAACCAAGCTGCAACCTGAAAGCAGCTGGATCTTTCAGTACCTAACTTGCAGTCAAACTTGCAAATAACACAAACCCAAAACCCACTCCCACCCTCCCAAGAAGGCAGGCTAAGCTTTGAAGATCACATACAGACTACACGTTCTGGAGGTCCTTGGTCTTGGCCTTTGTTAAATCCTCCGCGGCCACCGCCTCGTCCAAATCCTCCCCTGCCGCCGCCTCTGAAATTGCCTCCTCCTCCACCTCGGAAGTGGTTGTTGCTGCTGCCACCGCGGTTGAAGCCTCCGCCTCCACCACCTCTATTAAAACCTCCCCGACCTCCACCTCGAAAAGACATTCTCTTCAACACCTGGGGGGGAAAACGGCCGTACCTTTAACTGTGGCATCTCCTACACCCCCCTAACCCTTTGGGGTCTCTGTCAGAACACCATAAAAGGGGGCAATAACAGGAGCCCTGCCGCATCACCCAGTCCCACACACCAGTGACGAATCTGAAAAGTGAAATGTTATTTCCCTATGGCCTAGTGAGCGTGGCAAACCGAATGCACACCAGCCTCGCCGCCCCTGGGTTAGCAGTACCTTCTCCCTCAGCAGACATCAAGGTCTTCACGCTGCATTTCCTTCCTTCCTCCCTCTCTCCCGCAGCTGGGGTCAGCGTCCAGCACTTTCAGATCCTCCCGCTTCTTTGGCCACTCACCGTCGCCACGTGCGCCTCTGGCTCCGGCTTTTCGCGCACACCCACTCGGGTACTTCCGCCACCCTCGAACCTTCTCGGCCACCGTATAAGCACGGAGAATTTGTTGCTTTTTTTTTTTAAGAAAACCAGAAATTTGAATTAACTGGTTTGCTTTAAAAAAAAAAAAAGCCAGTCATTGGCGGAACTAGCGACAGTGCCACATTTCCAAAACAGTCTTTAGCGCTGAAGAAGTAACAATAACTAACCACTACTTTACGACAGCGAAATCAACCTGCCCAGCCGGGTGGCGGAAGTGACGTACAATAGCAGCGTCTTTTGCAACGGAGCATAACCGGAAGTGCTGCCGTGACATTGCGCTGGGGTCCGGTTTCCGCCCTTTCTGCCTGAGACTGACGCCGAGTTACTGTGTGCCGTGCGGCGGCTTCTGCCCGGGCGCTCTTGCTTCTTGGGCTGAAGTGGCCCCCGACCTCGCTCGTCACTTCGTGGCCTACTTCAGCAGCTGTGTGGCCCCATCTCTAAGGAGTCTGAGCCGCCCTCTGCCTGGAGGTAGTTCAGACTGCGTCAGAACCCGGGACAGCCCGCAGAAAGGTTTATCTCTGTTCTTTCTAGTTCCTTATTTCTCCCCGACCTTTGGAAGAACAGTACCGCTGTGGGCTGAACTGTGCCTGTCCTTTTGTCATGGTTTCATTAAAGAAAGAAATGCGTGTGTGTGCGCGCGCGCGGCGGGTATTTCTAGCGAAAATATGTTATCTAATAGAAACTTAAACCATGTTTTTATTTCCTCTTCCAGACATTCGTCCTTTAGTTTTGTTTGTTTTTTGAGACGGAGTCTCACTGGGTCTCCCCAGGTGCCGTCATAGCTCACAGCTAATTCCGGAGCTCAGGCGATCCTCTTGCCTCAGTCTCCCGAGTAGCGAGGCCTCCAGACGCCCTCTACAACACCCGGCTAGTTTTTCTGTTTTTAGTAGAGACGGGGTCTCGCTCTTGTTCAGGCTGGTCTCTGACTCCTGAGTCAAGCGATCCTCGCTGCTCGGCCTCCAGGTATACTAGGGTGGGCGTGAGCCACCGCGCCCGACCTCGTCAGTTACGTTTTGAGCACCAACCAACTGAACACGCGTCTTTGCTGGAAGCTCCTTTCTCCCCTCCTTAAGCTTTTGATATCTAACATCAGCTTCCCTCACATCCTTCACGACTTCTCTCAAAAAGAAAGATAGTGACCTCTCATTTATGAAATTTGGTTTGTCTTTTATATCCAAATCCTCTTGAGACGTTACTTTGGTATTTGACACAGTCAGCTATCTCTGCTTTGAGAGAGGGTGCAGATTGATAACTGTTTCCAAAGTTATTGGAAATGGAATTTTAAAAGACATTGTAAACTTTACTGTGGAAATATGTCTTCTGCATTAACGTGTAAGTTTCTCAAGGAATTAAGTGCCTAACAGTCCCATATATAAAATTAACTTTATAAATGTATTTTAGATTTGATAGATATATTAAATTCTATATGTCATACAAGAGTAGAATTATCCATGATTACACTTGTCTATTTTGATAGTCTATTGTGTCATTTAAGTTTACTGTTTCTCTATTTAGTCACCCTCTCAGTATGATGAAACCATTGAACTTTTATGGGACCTTCACCAGGTACCTAACCCCTTTTATTTGGAAGTAAGTAACTGACTTCAGATAAGTGAAGTAACTTTTCTAGCTAGTTACTAGAACATACTAGAACGTTGGACCCTCCTAGTCCTCCTTTCTTCTTTTCTCCCCTCTCCCCAATTTTCTCCTCCCAATTTGTTCATCTTTCTAATTCCCTAATTGTCCCCCAGATAGCATCATACTCATAGTTTCTAAGTATTTGGACTCAAATAATGAAGCTTGCTCATCTTTCCTAATCTTCATATCATTTTTTTTTTTTTTAGACAAAGTCTCAGTACATTGCCCTGGATAGAGTACCGTGGCATCACAGCAACCTCAAACTCTTAGCTTAAGCTATTCTCTTGCCTCAGCCTCTCAAGTATCTGAGACTACAGGCACCCGCCACAATGCTTGGCTATTTTTTTGTTGCAGTTGTTTAGCTGGCCTGGACTGGCTTCGAACCCGCCACCCTCAGTGTATGTGGCTGGCGCTGTAATCACTGTGCTATGGGCACCCAGCCATCTTCATATGTTTCTTGTTCTTTTTCTTTTTTTAAATCTGAAGGTTCTAATATCACCTATGGTCTGTTTCTTTTGTTTTCCAGTGACTGTTTTTTTTTTCTTTCTTCCCCTTGACCCTATCCATGTCTTTTCCCACTATACACAGGTTAAATTTCACCTACAAACTACTTACTGTTATCTGTGGAGAATGTACTGAGTTTAAACATATCAATAAATACTTCCAAAAATAAACCACCCAGCCTTGGTTGCAGTGTCTTTTATCCAAAACTATCAAATTAATCAATTTCTATTCCATCTGAAGTTGTACTATCATCAGATTAGTACAGGCTTCCTGTTATTCTGCCACACTTCCTATCCTGAATCATTCAGTATGATCTACAAGAATTCAAAAGTCCAGAAACAATAACTGTAATATAACATACTCTTAACACTCTGAGTATCTTTGATGCTTTAAACTGAATGCCTCCAGGCTTAACTTCCTCTTCCCATCTGTATGGCTTATGTTGACATACTGAACTTACTAGAACAATTTCTTGATACCACATCCATCATAATAACTCCCCATTTCCTTTAGCAACACAAGTCTAAAGTAAATTCTCTCTGTCAGTTCAGCTTTAAAGTGATTGATTTTATTTCCCTCTTATGCTATACAACATTCCTCTGTCCCATCATGGCAACATCATTGTTTTGCATCCAATACTTTCATTGTCAGGTACTTTCTCCTGCTTGGAGAACCTTCATTTCCCATCCACTAGGCCAGTCTTTTTCTGTCTTTGAACTCTATAATGAATTCTCACGTCTCTGAGAACTTTGTGGAGAATTCCACACCACTGCATGACTTTGTTTTCACATCAATTTCACCAACCCCAACCTAAGTCTTTGGCTGAAAATATCCCTGGCACTTTGCCAGGGTCAGCATATAATGGAGGAATACACATAGGCCACACACATGTCTGTCCGTGGGTCACCATGACAAGACCGCCCAAGGGTGATAGGTGGTCTCCTGGGGTGAGGGGAGAGCACCACCACCCTGCTTGCAGCTGAGGCTGCCTGGCTCCATCACCGTCAATTGGGCTTCAGCTGGTGGGGCTGGAGGGCCCTTTTCTCTATTTGAATTTCTGCTTATTTCTTAAGATCCTGCTGTCAAAAAATGACAAGTTATGGTCAAAAAGAAAAAGGTATAAGTGCAGCCTAATTATGGTAGCCAGGATCTAAGAAAACATTTTCAGTTATGTTACCGAAAGTTGTGGAAATATAATTAAAATACAGGGTAAGAATATATAGATGTTTCTCAACTTTTGATGAACTGATGTCCTGAGAAGCCCATCCCAAACTGAAAATATTGTAAGTCGAAAGTCTGGTCTACCTTGAAGGTGCTCAGAACACTGATATTACATACGCTGGGGCGAAATCATCTGGCAGCACAGCACCCTGTGCTGCTTGCTGCTGTGCCGGAATCACGAGAGTATTGTACTGCATATCGCTAGCCTGTGTAAAGATCAAAATTTAAATTTCAAAGTACTGTTTCTACTGAATATATGTCCCTTTCACATCAAAATAACTATGCTATGCTATGATTTTTTCCAAAGCAAAAAAATCACAAGTCAAATCATCTTAAGTCAAGAGGGTATAGTGCAAATGACAAAGAGAGCTGGTGGCTAGAAAAAGAGCTAAAATTTTTTATATTGGAACAAAAATTTAAAATGATTTAGCCAAGGTACCATTAAATTGGAAACATCCATGTGAACTCATGACTTTCTTTTTTGGGAGGGGTTATAAGAATTTCAAACACAAAAGTTGAGAGAGTGGGATAATGAACTTCTACGCATGCATTGCTCACTTCCCACCAGCCTTTTACAAATCTTATTTCTCCTATTTTCTCTGTTATTGTTATTATTGCTAGAGTATTTTATAGTAAACCCCAGATAATAGCATTTCATCCATAAATCTCCAGCGAAGGACTTTTCTTTTTTAGAGACAGAGTATTGCTCTGTCACTTTTTAGAACATAAGCACAGTACCATTATCATTCTTAACAAATTAATATTTTTTTAGTATCAGTTAATATCCAGTTCAGTAGGCTCAGTGTCCATAGCGCAGTGGTTATGGCACCAGCCACCGACACCCAGGATGGCAGATTCGAACCTGGCCTGGGCCTGCTAATCAACAATGACAACTGCAACAAAAATAATAGCCAGGCATTGTGGCAGGTGCCTGTAGTCCCAGCTACTTGGGAGGCTGAGGCAAGAGAATCGCTTAAGCCTAAGAGTTGGAGGTTGCTGTGAGCTGTGACACCACAGCACTCTACTGAGGGCAACAATGTGAGACTCCTCCTCAAAAAAAAAAAAAAATCCAGTTCAGTAGAATTTTTCCAAGTTATTTCAAATGTCTTCAATCATACAAAGATCCAAACAAGAGCTATACTTTGCATTTAATTGATACATCGCTTAAGTATCTTTTATTCTGTATTAGTTTCATGTTCCCATTTCTTCCCATGATGTTGACTTGTTAAAGAAACTGAGTCTTTTGTAGCATTTCCCTCTCTCACGCTGGTGCCCCGTTGTGCTGATACGAATCATCTGTATTTCCAGTAAACAGGTAGTTAACTGATAGTGACATGTGGAGACTTGATTATGTTCAGGTCCAATTTTTTTATGTTGTTATTGCAAGAATATTTCCTGTAACATCCCATTGTCTCTCTTTTGGAATGTTAAGATTGATCAGTGGCATCAGTGTTATCAGCCAGATCCATCTGCTGGGAAGTTCCCTGCTAGGTTTTCACCTAATGGTTTCAGACGCTGTGGATGATCATCACCTGGGCCCCTTGGTCCATACGTTATGGTGACGTGTTACTAGGCTAACCCTACCATTCTCTCTGCAATTATTAGCTGAAATAAAGAACTTTCTTTTATTGTTTGATAATTGTTTTTTGTATCAGTTCTTTGTTAGCATTATTCCTTATAAT